AGGGAGCTTTTCCCTGTGTCCTGTCTATTAGTCAACATCACAAAATACAGACTTGCTCCTTATCTCCTCATTACAGTTTGTGCATGTTTTCTGAGAGCAAATTAGCTGTTGTGCAATGTAAAATTTAATATGTACTTTACAACACCATGAACAATTCAAAAGAAAACAGAACTGATTTGGTGTGGACAAAATGACAAGCCACAATGCGCAAGGTTATAGTCCAACAGGTTCGTTTGAAATCACAAGCTTTCACAGCACTGCTCCTTCGTCAGGTGACTTCAGACCTTCATTGCAGAGGTGGAGCCTGGTGTCACCAGCATACATCCATATTGTTTTTAATTCACTCATGGGACACCTGCATCGCTGGCTGGGCCAGTACTTAATGCACCCCCACATCATGGCTTGTTGTGAAAAGTGCTAAATAAAAACAAGTTGGCCTTTTCTCTCTCTCTCTCCTTCACAAAGTGATCCAGGAATAAAAATACGTTGCTGCTTAAAGATATTTACATCTGTTTATTGTGCCAACACATCTAGAAGTGAAAATGTTTTCAAAAACTTCAATTAACGATAGACAGCAACCTGCAAGTAAACAGCAAAGATGCTTCATGTTCACAAACAATTATTAGTCTATTTGCAGAACAGCAAGAAACATTTTGTTTTAGGATTACCTGGAACTGATTCTGTTCATCTTCAGCATTTCTTATTGGAATGCAGCTCTGACAATTCGATCACTGAGAGGTTGAGTTGGTCTAAAATTGTCTCCTAAAATCCCATCACATCCTTCAGGTAGCTCTGCTCCTTTAATGTGGGATCGTACTCTTCGGAACTCTTCTATCTGGGATGCAAAATACAAATCAGATTCAAACAAACAGTGGCATTTGTATGATGACTTCTTTATTCTTTCATGGGATGTAGGCATTACTGGAGAGGTGTTGTCCATCTCTAATCACCCTTCAGATAAAGGCCTTGCAAGGAAGTTTCAGGGAACAGTTAAAAGTCAACCGCATTTCTGTGGGTCTGAAGTCATATATAGACCAGCCTGGGTGAGAATGTCTGATTTACTCCCTTAAAAGGATATTTGTGAACCAGATATGTTTGTGACAAAATCAATGGTATTAATGATGGTCATCATCTGTAATTTAACCTTATTAAATTAAATTTAAATTCTACTAACTGCCACCGAAGCATTCTAAAGAACAGTCACCAAACCCAAAGCATTAACCGTTTCTCTCTCCACAGACACTACCAGAGCTGCTGAGCAACGTTAAGCCACCGTCTTAAGTTCTGAGGAACTATCACCGACCCGAAACATTTACTCTGATTTTTTCTTCACAGTTGCTGCCAGACCTGCTGAGTTTTTACAGCAACTTCTGTTTTTGTTCCTGATTTACAGCATCCAAAGTTCTTTTGGTTTTTATTAGGCAACCATCTCCCCATTTGTTTTCATTTGCTAATGGGACAGGAGTCTCGCTAATTGCCCATCTCTAAACGCTCATCAGAATTTAGCAGGAACCACTTTCCTGAATCACTGCAGTGACTGTGTGCTGCAGGCTCACCCACAGTGTTGTGAGGGAGGCAATGCCAGGATTCAAACCTAATGACAATGAAGGAAAGACAATGTAGTTCCAAGTCAGGATGGTGTATGAAGTGGAAGGATCTTCAATTAGTGATGTCTCCCATGCATCTGCACCCCACCAAACAACCCCCACCCCTAACCCAGTGGTTCACATTGCCCTTTAACTTTGGTCGCACATTCAGTCAAATGCTACCTTGGCATTAATGCAGTCACTGGTACCTCAATTCTTTATATTGATGTCAATATGTACACAATTAGGAAAAAATAAATCTCAGTGCACTGTCAGATAAATCATTTACTATAGCAATTCAAATTGTTCTAATCTGTAAATATGATACACGCAAATGAAACAATAATTAATGGATCATAACTAAAATACTGATTTCTTACACTCAAACAGTTCCTGGGCTATTTTTGAACATCTCATAATACATCTCAATCTTTCTTTTGCAAAAGAGCCCATTTAATAAATATTAACTCAATTAAATGTCATTGTGTGTATAAACTTAAGGGTAAATTCAATTTTAAATGGTCATTTTAGAGGAAATAGCCTCTGAAGATCACAGTCTAGAAGGTTCCAGAAGTCAGGAGAATGCAAACATTTACATGTACTTAAAAATTTAAAAGATTACACAGGGCAAATCAAAAAACGTACACCCATGAGAGGCAAGTAATTTATTTCATTGCTTGTTGTCACAAAATGGAAAACCTATCCTAATGTCGACTTTAATATCTAAATTTCTACATTAAGTAACAAACGTTTAGACAGGTATTCACTGCTGAGCATTGAACAAAGATTCACGGTAAACAGATCATAAAGACAAATATTTTGTAGTTAATCTTCATTTGTATTTTAAGTCAGCACTATCAAGAATACATTTTCATTCCATTTATTCATTATCAAAATAAGAAACATTTGATTGCAACACCAATTACAGTGGTTCACTGAAACTTATTAGTAGCATTGATGGACCTTTAGGCTTTTAAAAACCTATGTGAATGACTATGATGGGGGATCCAAGAACAATATACCCAATTTAGCTGCCAATGCAATGTTTTGTGAGAATGTAAACAGCAAGGGGTCACCAAGATGCTTTAAAAAGTACGTAGAAAACTTAATTGACTGAGAAAATGCGTGCTGAACGAAATCTAATGTGACAAACAAGGGAAAAGAAAAAATCTACTTTTCGAATGAAGTGGAAACAAGACAATAAAAGAAACAGTGGGAAACGTGATATTGAGAGACCCAAATATCTTTGTGCACAAAATAAAGTGAACATGATGATGCTACAAGAAAACAAATGGGTTTTGATGTCTCTACCTAAATAAAAGCATTCAACAGGTTAAACCAACAACATTTAAATAAATTGTATCACAAGAACATGTAGAGTATGGGATGGTTTGGACAAAGGCCCTTCTTGGATTGATTGACTGATTTAATTGTCACGTGTACCTAAGTACAGTGAAAAGCTTTGTTTGTGACCTGTACAGGCAGATGATAGTAAGCAAGAACATATAGATCATAGGGTGAACAGACATTGTTGAGACTAGTTTTCGTTTAGAGAATCTTATGACATGTGGTTATATAAAACCTTAGAGGGTGTTAAGGAGGCCATTGTCACCTTCAGGATGAACAAGCGCTACTGTTCTTACTTAAAGAAAAACTGATATGATTTTATCTTCTGCAGACTGATATCATTTGTCATTGTAAAACTTAGACAACATCATCTTATCAAAAACAGTAGTGGACAACCTGGTAACCAAAGAGAGGAAGAACAACTGTGACGATCATCATCCTCAAAAACTATGTGTGAGAAAAGGGGTGAAGTATTTCTAAGTATCTAGAGGTAGTAGTGTCAAATGAGTGATCATACTTGGCAAATGCTCATCCAAATAGATATCCATGCGAAGAAATTCAACAATTTCTAATGTCATGGTGAAATTAATGGTGATGCACAGAGCTTATGCACCTGCATAACAATCTATTATTAATCCTAAAGATTGATGCATCGAGGTTAGTTGTTACAGTACTGTTGTAAAACTAACACTGATTTGACAATGTGGATGTCTGCCAGTAATCTACCATGGATAACAAGATAAATGAAACATTCACTGTCCTGTCTGCCTTCTACAATTATCAGTAAAACATGAAGGAGGTGGTTATTGAGAGTGCCTCTAGTGACACCAACTGTCAAAAAATAAAAATAGCTTACGGATCAGCAGGTTGGATTCTACCCAAATCTTTGATCCTGAAGAATTTGGAGTGAATACCACCAGAGACACGAGTGTCTGCACTTTCATGAAGGCAGCACCTATCTGAATATGATGCCAAGCGTAACTGACTTAACTGAAAACCAAGGAGACATGTGCCAAGATGAAGGAAGGTCTTCATGATTGGTATTGTTGGAATTTATTCATCACTGCCTCAGAGTTGCAATGAAAAGTGACTTCTGCACAGCTTTCTTCCAACTACTTGGCCATCCTTCCAATATAAATCCAGAAATAGAGTTGATCTCTGATTATTCCAGCCTCCATTCTATAATCACAACACACCCAATAACAAAGCAGCCTGGTCAGTCCACAGCAGGATCTTGACTCATTGCAGCCTGGAATAAAGGGGAGGCAAAGACATTGTGGTAAAGTCAATATACTGACGATCCAGAGCCCGAGGTTAAAGTTCTGTGGGCATGGGTTCAGATTCCACTTGGGAGATGGTGGATTTGAACTTAATGAAACCTGGAATTAACAGTGGCAACCATTTAATCATTGGTGCTGAAACCTATCTAGGTCACTAATCCTTAGCGAATCTGGCCTACTTTTGACCCCAGGCTTGTGGACATGGTCTTACAAGCCACTCAGTTGTACCAAACTGCTAAACAGCCTAAACAAATAAATTCAACCAGCCAGATAACCAAGACACCAGAAACATCAAAATGGCAGTAACAGCCCTGTCAACCCTGCAAAGTCCTCCTTACTAACTTCTGGAGGCTAGTATAAAAATCAAGAGACTGGTCAAGCAACAGCCCAACAGTCATGTTCACTGATTCCTACCGCACGGACACCACTACTCCTTGTTTATGTCCTGGCCCACCAGGAGAGTAGACCCAGCAGAGATGGTGGATAGTGGTATATAAACATGAAGGAGTTGCCCTAGAATCCTCAACATTGACTGTAGAACCTATGATATCCCATACCACCAGGTTATACATGCTTTTTATTTGCTCGTGGGATGTGGGCGTCACTGGCTAGGCCAGCATTTATTGTACATCTCTAATTGCCCAGACGGCATTTAAGATTCAATTACATTTGTGGGTCTGGAGTCACATATAGGCTAGGCCAGGTAAGGATGGCAGATTTCCTTCCCTGGAGGACATTAGTGAGCCACAACAATTGATCAATGGTGGTTATATGGCTGTCACTGAGCTAGCTTATTATTAAATTCAAATTTCATCATCATCATGCCGTAGTGGGTTTCAAACCCATCACTCCACAGCATTGAGCTGGAGTTCTATGGCAGATGACCCTTCAGCCCTCAAGCATGCGCTGACACATTTTGCCCTCCTATACTAAACCTGTCTTCAATTACAGGATCTGTATCCCTCTATTCCCTTTCTATGCATGTATTTGTCTGGGCGCTTCTTGAATGCTTCCACCACTTCCTCTGGCAGTGTGTTCCAGGCACTCACCACCCCTTTGTGTGAAAAACTTGCCTCACACATCTCTTTTAAACTCCTGCCCCCTTACACCTTGAATCGGTGTCCCCTAGTACTTGACCCCTCCACCCTGGGAAAAAGCCTCATACTTTCCACTCTATTAATGCCATTCACAACCTTATAAACCTCTAATCAGGTCACCCCCTCAACTTCCTATGCTCCAGTGAAAACAACCCAGTCTATCCAACCTTCCTTCATAGTTAAACTCTCCCATACCAGGCAACATCCTGGTAAACATTTTCTGTACCCACTTCAAAGCATCCACATCCTTCTAGTCGTGTGGTGACCAGAACTGTATGCAATATTCCAAGTGTAGCCTAACTAAAGTTCTATAAAGCTTTATTTTCTTATTTATTCATTTTGTGGGACGTGGGCATCACTGGCTGACCAGCATTTACTGCCCGTCCCTAGTTGCCCTTGAGAAGGTGGTGGTGAGCTGCCTTCTTGAACCGCTGCAGTCCACCTGCTGTGCGTTGACCCACAATGCCCTTAGGGAGGGAATTCCATGATTTTGACCCAGCGACAGTGAAGGAACAGTGACAAGTC